TTGTCCAAAGGACAATTTATTAAATGTGGATTACAAATTATTTACACTTTGCTTCAATTTTCAATCTATTTTTGCTAATCGGTTGAAAGAGGGCATGGGACAGATAATTAGTGAAACTCAGTCAGGGTTTTTTAAAGACAGATCTATACACAACAACATTAGGCTGGTTCTTGATGTACTAGATTACAAGGACAAGAAGACAATGGTTTCATATCGTTTTTAGAATTTTACAAAGCCTTTGTATGAAAACTTTAGAGCATTTTGGTTTGGGCTCAAAATTTATTAAAGTAGTTAATATGATGTATAAAGATATCAATAGTTTGCTTTCTCTCCCGCAAGGAACGTCTAGAAGATTTGAGGTTAAACGAGGGATTCGGCAGGGTTGTCCTTTCTCCCCTTTATTATTTATTGTAGTTGCAGACTTATCTATGATATAGAGCCTTTACACGTGCTAGGTAATTATCTATGTATAACTCCCGCTGGCAATTGAGAAGATGAAGAGGTTCTCTACAGCGTCTGGGTTACAAGTAAAATTTAAAGAAATGTGAACTAATGGCTATACATGCACAGCCTCTAATGGATATGTATGGTATTCCAGTTAAAATGGAAGTGAAATATTTAGGGGTGGTTATAACAAGAAGGGAAAACCAGAGAAGAACAAAATATTGAGGTTGGTATAAAGATAGGTAAATCTATACTTAATTCTTGGTTACAGAGGGATTTATCTATTTTTGGAAGGGTTTTGATTACTTGAATCGTCATCTAGAGTTATGTACAGTGGATAGAAAAAGTCTACACACCCCTGTTAAAATGCCAGGTTCTTATGATGTAAAATAATGAGACAAAGATAAATCATGTCAGAACTTTTTCCACCTTTAATGTGACCTATAATGTGTACAATTCAGTAGAAAAACAAACTGAAATCTTCGACGGGGAAAAATGAAAAATAAAAACCTTACAATAACCTGGTTGCATAAGTGTGCACACCCTCTTATAACTGGGGATATGGCTGTGTTCAGAATCAACCAATCACATTCAAACTCAGGTTAACTAGAAGTCATTACATCCCTGCCATCATTTAAGACTCTGATTAATCACAAATAAAGCTCAGCTGTTCTAGTAGGATTTTCCTGATATTTTCTTAGTTGCATCTCTGAGCAAAAGCCAAAAACAAAAGAATTTCCAAAGCATTAGATATACCATGGAACACAGTGAAGACTGTCATCATCAAGTGGAGAAAATATGGCACAACTGTGACTTTACCAAGAACTGGACGTCCCCACAAATTGATGAAAAGACGAAAAGAAAAGTGGTCAGGGAGGCTTCCAAGAGGCCTACAGCAACATTAAAGGGACTGCAGGAATTTCTGGCAAGTACTGGCTGTGTAGTACATGTGACAACTATCTCCCGTATTCTTCATATGAATGGGCTATAGGGTATGGTGGCAAGACGGAAGCCTCCAAGCACGGCTAAAGTTTGCAAAAACAAACATCAAGTCCCCCAAAAGCATGTGGGAAAATGTGTTATGGTCTGATGAAACCAAGGTAGAACTTTTTGGCCATAATTCCAAAAGGTATGTTTGGCACAAAAACAACACTGCACATAACCCAAGGAACAGCATACCCACAGTGAAGCATGGTGGTGGCAGCATCATGCTTTGGGGCTGTCTTTCTTCAGCTGGAACCGGGGCCTTAGTCAGGGTGCAGGGAATTAAACAGTTCCAAATACCAGGCAATTTTGACACAAAAACTTCAGGCGTCAGTTAGAAAGCTGAAGATGAAGAGGAAGTTCACCTTTCAGCACGACAACGACCCAAAGCACACATCCAAATCCACAAAAGCACGGCTTCACCAGAAGAAGATTAATGTTTTGGAATGGCCCAGCCAGAGCCCAGACCTGAATCCAATTGAATATCTGTAGGGTGATCTGAAGAGGGCTGTGCACAGGCAATGTCCTCGCAATCTGACAGATTTGGAGCGCTTTTGCAAAGAAGAGTGGGCAAATATTGCCACGTCAAGATGTGCCATGCTAACAGACTCCTACCCAAAAAGACTGACTGCTGAAATAAAATCAAAAGGTACTTTTGGTACAACAAAGCATTAGTCTAAGGGTGTGCACACTTATGCAACCAGGTTATTTGAGGGGTTTTATTTTTCATTTTTCCCCCTCAAAGATTTCAATTTGTTTTTCAATTGAATTGTTCACATTATAGGTCACATTAAAGGTGGAAAAAGTTCTGACATGATTTATCTTTGTCTCATTATTTTACATCATAACAACCTGGCATTTTAACAGGGGTGTGTAGACTTTTTCTATCCACTGTACACTGCGTTTTCTCTAGCCATCCCTGATAATTTAATTAAATCAATGAATCAAGGCTATGAATAGAGTGATAAAACTTAAATGGTTACAGAAATTCATACAAAATGGTGATGGCTTCTGGTTTAATATTCCTTCTAAAATATTTGATAAATGTGGGGGGATTGATTTTTTTTATTAAGATGTGATTTCTGTGTTGCTAAACTTCCTGTTAAGCTGTATAAATTTCATGAGCAGGTCGTCCTTTATTGGAAAATGATTTATAAGCACAACTTCACTCCACATGGTAGTCCTTTGTGGAATAATAGGTGTATCTTGGTTAAAGGAAAATCTTTATGTCAATGTGAATGGGTGGAGACAGGTGTCTGTTCTATTTTACATTTGATGGATTCAAGTGGGACGTTTTTGGAGTACAATGTATTCATTGAGCCTTGCGATGGACTGGCGTCCTGTCCAGGGTGTACCCAGCCTTTCGCCCGATGTCAGCTGGGATTGGCTCCAGCCCCCTGCGACCCTGTACGCAGGATAGGATGGATGGATGGATGGATGGATGGATGTATTCATTGACACATATAATGTGATGTGTACAAAGAATCAGTTTTCCAGGATTATTTGGGAAATTCCACAGGCAACAGTGAACTTGGTTAGAGGCATGCTGTCTTATGAGGTAGTTGTACCACGGATGCCGTCACTTTATATAGGTTAACTGGACTTTAAGGAGAGAATATAGGCAAACAAAATTATAATTTGGGTTTCGGTTCAAAAGTGGATATCTGAAAAGGACTCTCAAGCACTAGTGTTAGAGTTTTGTGATATTAGATTTGGAGTTATATTGAAGGTTAAAAAAAGAGACCTCATGTATAACAGTTTAATTATTTTGGCTAAGCAGTTTATACATAAGTGTAGATTTATGAAGGTAAAACCTCTGTTTTTGTTTTTTATGAAGGAGTTAATTCTTTATAAGAAAGCTTTGAAAGGTATAAAAACAAGAAAAGCCTTGGATATTTTCAAAATGATACACATTTTGATTAATGATTAGACCTCTGTGTTATTTTGTGTTATTTTATGTTTTATTTATTTATTTTGTCTTCTGAAATTTTATTTTTGGTTGGGTATGTATGTAGTGTTATGTGTGTGTTTAAATTGTTTTGATATTGTAGGTATTTATTGTTAATATGAATTTGTAACTGCCTGATTTTGATTGTTTAATAATGGTTCAGAATGCTATGGGTGACGTCACAGACACTACGTCCATTTTTATATACAGTCTATGGGTACACCCTGGACAGGTTGCCAGTCCATCCCAGGGCCACACACAACCAGTCACACTCACACTCACACCTAAGGACAAGTTTAGAATCACCAATCAACCTAGCCTGCATGTCTTTGGATGGTGGGAGGAAGCCGGAGCACCTGGAGAGAACCCATGCAGACACAGGGAGAACATGCAAACTCCACACAGAAAGGCCTGGAACACTTCCAACTTCATTAAAAGGCAGAGTGAATGCAGTTAAGATGATCAGTCTCCCACAATTGTTACACCTCTTTCAGAACTTACCTATATTCCTTTCTAAAATGACTTTAAAAATTTGGATTCTATAATTCTCCTATTCATCTGGAACTATAAATCGCATTGCATTAGAAAAGGTCATCTTTGCAAATGCAAAGAGGGTGGGGTTTTGGGCTTGATGAGACAACTGTGTTTGCCAACTGGCTAGATATAGAGCGGGGGCACTGTTTACCCTACACCCTTGACGCCATCGTAATGTATCCCACTTGTCTCAAGAAATCATGATTTAACTATAATCCTACTATTCATAGTACTATTCAGATTTGGAGGCAAATAACAAAACAATTTAAGAGACATAGACTAGTTATGTTTCCTGAACTGTGAACTCCATGGTGTGTAGGCTACTTGTTTGTTGATGTTTTGTTATATGTGATGGCTCATTTGGCCCTAACCCCCTAACCCTAACCCTTTTGTCTCACTGTTAACTTCTGGAAAGAGGCAGGATATCCATTACAGGAACTCTATACTATCTTGACTATGCTTGTCAGCATAGTTGCTGTCAGAGGTAACCGAGAAAGGTGGCGAATTGGTAAATTTTTACGTGTGTTACAATCAATTCACAAATAGGCAATTAAAAAAGATTAATATCACAACAAAACTACATATAGCCCCTTTAAGTGTTGCATGGAAGCATTCAAGGCAATTCATATAGTGTAATTCAAAGTAGTAAATTCACTGACAAAGCACTGAGATATGGAATCAACTTGTGTAATATTTACAATTATCCTAGTGATTATTTCGCTGACAAATCTATAACCCTTGCCTTGCCCCTAAATTAAAAAAGAAGGAAAAGACCAAAGCCATAACATCAGCCTCACCAACTTTTTATTCACGTTAGGAAGTCTGAACATTTATATTAGCAGGTTATGTCAAATCCTGTTTAAATAAAAATATATATAGGCTATGCTGTTTAACATACTTTAAGAAGCATACTTTAATTAACACATAGCCTAAACCAGCCTAGGAAGTAGCCTAGGATTAAAATCATCCCGTTATAAAAGAGGTTTAAGTTTTCTTCTTTACCGGGGCCCTATACATAGGAAAATTAATGATTTCCCTGACATTTCGATTTAGATCTAGTTAACGGGTAGACGGGTAATCCTCAACCCCAGGACCAGATCAGAGCAGACCCATATTCATCGCGCTGTGCATTCTGGGAACACAGTAGTTTCAAGATGGCGGCGAGCAGGAGGCTGGCCAAGGTAAATCTCCCTTTCTCGTTATTTTCATATAATTTGTAATGTGTAAACACGCATTGGCGGCTAGTGGACGCATTCTTTGTTCACCTAAAGTCATAAGACAATGTTGTTGTTGTGTGAAGACACATTTAGTGGTTGTTTTTATGCTGTAAACGTAATAAAAAGCGAGAGGTCACCAGTGGCCACCTAACGTTAGCCGACCAAATATTACCGTAGGCAGCAAAGCACCGGCAAATGAACGTTAGGCCAGAGAGTCGAGAATCAGCCTTCCGATGACGACAAAGGGGCTGACGTTTCGTTGACTAGCCAGCGTTTGCTTCCATGCAGCTATTAGTTGGATGGCCGAGGGAGCTAATTTAGACGTGACCAACACCGGGAGAGAATTTCCACGGCGTACGGCGTTTGCCAAAGCGCTAACTTGCTAGCCTCAGCCCTTAGCTGCGTTTCAGCTAGCTAGCCAGCAAGCGTCAGCTAAAGTCCCGGTTAGCCAGGTTTCGGAGATCGTCATTAAGGGATGGGTGGGGAGGAACTTGGTGTAAATCCATAACAAATATGTCTCATTGCTGTTACGTGAAAGCAATAAAACGGTTTAAATGTCTACTAGTCAGTGTTCTTTTAAAAGTTATGATAGCACATTAACGTTACGCAAGGTCTGTGTTATCTGATTAAACGTGATTAACGTAGTCAGGTTGTGTCTCTTCCCCTGTTCCAGCCAAATGGCCATGCTAGTAAATTAGCCAGTTATTACTCGAATCTCTTTATGACGGAGTTACGTTGTCTGTCTGAAAAACAATAAGCAGAAAAACTGAAGCATCAACATGCACATGTATCATGCGGTTTTGAACAGATCTCAACTCAGATTTTCAGTGTATGAGCTCTTTAGATTGTAGACTACAGTCACTAGCTGCCATTCGCGGAACGAGGAAGTGTTTATGTGAAAGTAAAAGTAATGAGAAATGTCACTGCTGTTAGCCCATAAAAAGTTATGATTTAATTTATTAACAGCCCTCTTTCGTTTTCAGTTCGGTGGTCTGACATTGCATAAAAAAAGTATAAATGGACTAAGTAAAGTTTCATGTACTTGTATGTGTATGTATCGGTGTGCCTATTTTAATGCTGTTGGGATCTTAACAACAAGATGTGCAAGTCATTGAGCCTTTGTACATGAGCTAGTTTGAAGCAGAAAATAAACACAACAATATTTTGCTTTATGGCCTGAAAAGGGTGTGTACTGATTATTCCCTAGCCCGTCAGAGGCTTCCTCAGCACACTAAAATGATTAACCCAACTGTCAGGCTGGAAGTTTGCTAAACAATAACACAATCCTCTTCTCACAATGTAATTAATCCATGTTGATTTTCACCAAGCTTTAGAAATCAACCTGATGAGACTGTTGTATGTTTTGTTTAATTCTACATGCTATTAGAAGTAACTAGTATTTAACTATTATACTCGGTATATAAAATGTGTAGGGAGTGATATTGTTTCTGATTCTGCTTATCTATTTCAGACATTATAGAGAGAATCACAAAGTCTGTTCACATTAACTTGCTTCACAGTTTAATGGCAGCAACATGTTGAATTTTTTTTTTGATATTTCAAATTGTATACGTCCCGTTCATCTAAAATGCATGTTTTATGTTTTCTTTTTTTGTTTGTTTTCTTATGCCAATTACTAGTGTTAGTTTGGACACCAAATTTACCTCTGGGGCCACAGAAAATGAAAGCTTGAGCTTACCCAAAACTAGTCTGACCGGCTGTGAGATGTGGCTGTTGGGTAGATTTGTTTGATCAAAGACGCTAACAAAGAAGCACATAAAATAAGCACAGACAGGTTGGACCACTGTTTTTAAACTATCTGAACTGTTATGACTGAAAATTACAACAGCAATAAACACCTTTCTATCCAGTTGCCAGCAGCAGTCTACCTGGAAGTGACCGTTATTGTTAGCTAGGCTTGGGTGATCTTCTCTGTTTTCATATCGTCTGATCATGGCTACTTGAGATCACTGATTGGCGATCTGATCGCAGTACATTGTTTTCCACTGAATTACTGTTATTTATTTTAATTATCAGCGTGCTAACCTCGACAAGCCAGCTGTATTCTAGGCAGATAGATTAACTTCTCATAGTTAACTTCAATGCATTAGTTTTTCTATAACGTTATAAACACGACTGTAGAGAGTGAGCAAGCAAGCGGAGGTGCTGAGTGAATCGATGCCACTCGCGCAGCTCCATATTAAATAGTATATAGTATCTGGCGGTCAGCGTTGATATTGTGGCGTGTTGTGTTTCCAAACCAATCGCTGATCATCCCTTTAATTATCGGTAGGCGATCCAATCGGAACAAGCCTGTTGTTAGTGCAGTGTCACTGTGATGCAGTTTATTATGTGGCTCTGATTTGTGGGCTCATTATTTACAAGAAGAAAGAACAACTTTATACTGAGCAGACTGAGACTGCATGAAAAGCCAGTTGCTGTAAATGAATAAACATCTTCAGCCATGTTTAATTAGCATTCTTTGCCCCATTTTCTTCCAAAATAGAAGGCACGATTCTGAACACTGCGTCTACTTGTGACACAGGGAAGAGTGTAGACAGACACATACAAGGTTAACACAGTCACCTCAGTTTCACTCCCTGTTGTGCAATACACCCTGACAAACCACTAAAAGTCACTAGTGCAGCACAAATGATAGGAAGTCTTACCGGCTTCCTACCTGCAAGCAGAATTGTTGCAAGGCAAGCTGGAGGCAGCACTCTCAGCAACTGGACCAGGGATGTGGGAGGCCTGGCCTGCTCTGTGAGACAGTGCCCTGAGATACTGTCTGTTAGAAATACATAGAAGTGAGTAACCAGGAAGGTGCAGTAAGAACTTAAGGAATCAGGAACTCAAAATCAAAAGCAATGAAGCATTTTCTAAAACAGCAGTAAACATTTATGTTTCATTTGTATAATAAACACTGTCTGCTTGTTCTGTCAGGAACTCGATGAGATCCGCAAGTCTGGAATGAAAAACTTCCGAAACATTCAGGTTGAGGAATCAAACCTATTGTCATGGCAAGGGCTCATTGTTCCTGTAAGTAGCTGTTCCTGCTCCACTGCTCTGCCATCTGTTGGCCTGAACTTCCCTCACTAACCTCTGTGCTCACTTCCAGGACAACCCACCTTATGACAAAGGTGCGTTCAGGATCGAAATCATTTTCCCCACCGAGTACCCTTTCAAGCCTCCCAAGATCACATTCAAGACAAAGATCTATCACCCCAACATTGACGAGAAAGGCCAGGTGTGCTTACCTGTGATCAGCGCAGAGAACTGGAAGCCAGCCACCAAAACTGACCAAGGTGGGTGCCCTTGTTACACAGGGCCTCTGGAGGCCAGCTGACACTCCAGAGCGACTGTTTGCTCTAATCTTGCATTACTACGTGGCCATGACTAAAGACTACTACCTTACTTTATGGCATAAAGCCATTTTGTCAACAAGCTATGCCAAACTTAGCTAATGTGTTGTTATAAAATCCTTACCTAAGTACATATGACATTAACACAATCAGGACTTAAATCAGGAAATATCTGAACAGTTATACTCTCTGAATACTGACAAAGCACATACGCACACATACACACAGACCGGTGTTTCTCCTATGATGGAGTTGTAGCAGTGGAGGTGAAGCGAAATAATTTTGTGCGCGTGGTGCACCCTTCTGTATGTCTGAAGATAAAACAGTTATACAATATGTGTCCGCAGTAGTGCTGTGGTGTTCATGAGCATCATAACGGCCAGGAGACCCTGTTAATATGACAGCGAATCATTGTAGATGTGATTGTTCATGTTGCATTTTGTGTCTGTTTACAGCTTTTGATATTTATCTGTAGAAATGAACATGAGAAAACTATCTCCCTTAATTGCCAAGCATTTTATTTGTACAATAAAAACCAAAAGAAACGTCTCCTCATTAGCTTAAAAGGGGCTAGTTTGCATCCGTAACAGCCAGTCTGAAAACTGAAAAATAGTTAACTAACTATTAGGATGTACAGAACAGAAGCTCCACTCGCATTCACCTTTACTTTCTGAAGTGCACCGCTGCTCCTGAATGAATATAGGGGAAACACTGCGTGCGCGCACACACACACACACACACACACACTATAAAGCCACTGCTTAGTAGCTACAGCAGAAAGTATGTTACAATAAAAACAAGATAGAAGTGGTCAAAGCCATGACAGGGTCTTCAAAATACAAATATGAAGATTGTGTCTCCAGAAAGTCAAGAGGACAAGGTGGCCTGTGTGTCATGGGTTTATTCCACTGAGAAGGTATTGTAGGAATATTACACGGTGCTTGGAATATTTTCTACTCGAACTGAAAGGTAGAGAGAGGGGGGGAGGACACAGTGAAGCTAAACAGAGGCAGAAATGGAAATGAAAACATTACTGATCCAGCTCGGGCTCAGACTATAGCAGTTTGAAAACCTGAACCCATTTTGAAATCAGGAAACTTCTCAGATTCATGCACGCACTACAGGATTTGAAAATAATTATGCACCTCAGTGGTGCAGTGAAATTTGACAAAGCTGTTCCACTGTGATGAGGTGCATGAGACGGCTGGCAGAGGGACCCCAGCAGCACCGTCTCCGGACACCATCTGCATGGGCCGTTCATCTCATGAAGCACGCAGCCAGATTCTCTCTTCTAGGATATTTTACAGAGTTTACATTTTCAGCGTAACAGGCGGTACACCTGCCTGATTACCCACTGTAATTATGATGTGCTTGTTTATCCTGGAGCTGATTTTCATGGCTGAGATATACATTCCTTCTGTGTAGTTCCTTGCATGGCCGATGTCCCACCTATGAGTAGTTGTGATTGGACAGACTGCTCGGTAAAGCTCACCACGTTTCTGACAAAGCGTTGTAGCTAGGAGGCTTCACAGCTCTGACTGCAGACTCTTTCTTCATGATGCATCAGTGTCATGTCTGCTTTTTGACAGTGAAGGAAAACCACAGCAGCTCTTTGTTGTAACTTGCTAAATATTGTCAGTACTGTAAGCTGCAGGCACACATGATTCACTGGTCACATGGTCCTTTTATTAGCTGCTGCTCTTTGTGCCAGCACATGCTGCTTGTTAGGAAAGCATTGTCATGTCTAACAGCATCTCTTTGGCTGTGTGTATCTTGCAGTAATTCAGTCCCTCATTGCGCTGGTGAATGACCCCCAGCCGGAGCACCCCCTGAGGGCAGACCTAGCAGAAGAATACTCAAAGGACCGTAAAAAATTCTTGAAGAACGCTGAAGAGTTTACAAAGAAACACGGCGAAAAGCGGCCAATGGACTGATCAGCTGACGAGCGTGTAGCCCTCTCTCTCTATCTCCCTCTGCTCCTATCTTACCTGCCCGACCAAATGCCTCCCTTCTGTCCCCCACACTCCTCATCACCTCCTTCGCTCACTCTGCTCCGCCCTCCTCCCCCCTACCAGTCCTCCCTGCAGCCCAGGAGCCGCCCTGCTGAAGCCAGGCAGCGGCAGCTACTGCCTCAGCCTCCTTCCCCATCCAGGACTCTCTGTGGATCAGACAGCTTCCTCCTCCTCCTTCTCAGCCATAAATCTCCAGACCATTTCTAACTTTCTACTCTTTTCTTAATGTGAAAACTGGGGAAAGAAATACTAAGGGAACATAATGTTCAGATGCAGAGTTAGATGGAAATACTCAGTAATGTGTTCATTTTCTGTTGGCATTTCCTCTATATAAACTCCTGTGTAAAATAGATCTCACTTAGACATGATTTTTCCTAAGTATTTTATTTTTTGCAGAGCAGAAAAACTGATTGATTACTCATTTTGTCTTTTGCCCCATCGTCAATACTTTTTTAAGCTAAAACACAAATGTGATGGACAGAAGAGAAGCTGTAGCTGAGACTGGGAGGTGATGGCTGAGATGTTTCTGCTTCTAGACTTGCACTGTGCTCACTGTCCTTCCCCACAGTCTGTAACCCACTGAGCAGAAACAAACTATGGCAGGCCATACATGAATTGAATTTTTGTTGCTGAAAATGCTAAACAAGATTCGTGAGTGTTAAAAACACTCCAGACATGCAGTTATCATCAGCAGGCCCTGAAAGACCAATTGAACAGCACTATCTCTCACATGTTCTATGATGGGTTTTCTCAACACTCTGACCATGCTGTAAACACTGTTCTGCATTGTGATTCTCTTTTTCTTATTAATAATACTTGGCTTTCTCCACTTTGAATTGTTTTGATCTGGATCTGATATATAAAATTGGTAATGTGGGAAGAACCTGTTTTGTTCATTTGAAACTTCCACACACGTCTCCTCTCCCACTGTCGGGCACCTCAGTGAATGCACCTGCCATACTAGAAAAAGCCTTCACCACACTGAGACATACTCCGGCGGCAGATGGACTGTCCGCTGCCCAGCTGGGCGGGCGGGTGGGGGGGCGGCTGGAGAAGGGCAGCCGGAAGGAAGCTCAGCTCCTGGAGATGGTCCCAGAAACGAGCACCTTGAAGCAGCTAAGAGAGGGCTGGCTGTCCGGGGATGTGTCAGGACATGGAGAGGGACTGCAGTGGCCAAAAAGCACCATGTAACAGCTGTTTGATCTGGTCCCAATATTGTTTCATAATAAAGATGGCTAACCATTTGGCCTCACTGTCTGCCTGCTAGTCAAGTGGATGTTGCACGCATTTGGCTTTTGAAGAGTAGATTGAGGCCAGAACCAATCCAAACCCAGCAATTTGGTGGAAAACAGCTTTAAGTGAATTACAAACTGTTACATAGTTAGGGTTTTGTTTAGGTCAGTCTGAACTAAAAGTATAGTAGCTGTAGGATAACTAAACTAATGCATTGAAGGCAACTGAGGATTATGGATGACTATTTGCAGTGCTAGAAAAAGTATTCAGTTCCTTAAATTAAAGTAGCAATGTAAAATACACCATTGCTGGTACAAGTCCTGTATTCAAAATGTTGTTCAAGTAAAAGTACAGAAGTATTTTAAGAAAAATGTACTTTGATAAGATTGACTTTCTTTGAGTCCCTCTGAGTTTTATATTGTTGGATAGTTAATAAGAAGATGCGATTGACGATTGGCGGTTAATTGAATCTGATCTACATTCTTTATATTCTCCCTGTAAAAAGTAACATGTAAAGTTCAACTACCTCAGATCTATCCTTTCAAAAATGTACTACAAATAAAAAGATGTGTTACAATGCTGGCTAGTCCAGTTGCAACATTTAATGCAAAATCTGAATCACAGCGGAAGGATCCTCTATTTAAGTTAAAGGATTTTCACCACAAGTAAAAATACTCCAATGAATTTAGAGTATCAAAAGTTAAATGATATACCTTAAAATTTCAATTTAAAGAGTTCTATACACTTGTCCTTGTACTCGCCCGGTGTTGCTACATGTTTTGACAAATAAAGGCAGGTGTGTATATGTATGTATGTATATATATATATATATATATATATATATATATATATACCCTTATTTAAACAGGAAAAGTCCCATTGAGACGCAGTCTCTATTAGAAGCCTGGTATCATTTTTACGGAAGTTCTCTGGATGTATCCACAGGTTTCCTACATCCCATGATGCTTTGCATCGAAAGTGGGAGTGACTTCCGGTTCCAAGTAAACAAGCGGGACGTGTCACTCGTTCATTCAAAACATCGATCTAAACTTGCTAACGACGTGGGAAAAACCTCAACGAGCTGAAAAAGGGTGAAATAGCAGTGCCTTTACTTTCCGCAGTAGATGGTTGGGAACATGAACGTATATTAGCATTTGTAGCTATTTTGTTGATTCAGTGGCATGTGATGGTAACGCAATGAGCAATTTGAAAATCTCAGAAGCTTATCAGTATCTATACTGTGATAAAGTCGGATGGGTGTTATGTAAGGATGTCGGAAACGACCTTTTTTATCAAAAAGCAGACATTGAGCCCAGCCAGAGCCTACATGTATGACATCATAAGGCTTGGATGCTAGCATCAGTGACAGGTGAAGTACAGACAGCTGGTTGCTCAGCATTGCAGGACCAGGAAGCTCTTGTAGTCATGCAGCAGCACTTTTGTGGAAGGTCAGTAAAGTAAGGACAATTAAGGGCACAAAAATTGTTTATTGTATTGTGATATTACTAATAAATGTACTAAACTGAAATGTGTTCTGTATGTCATTCACATTCTGCATATGTTGTTTTACATTAGCCTTCATTATCTAGCCTAGAGTGATGGATGACAAAATTTAATTTCATTCAATTAAAGTTGAGAATGCAGTCAGGCAGGGTAAGACAGCAAAATCATCAGTAGCGTGTAAAAAGTAGAATTTCTGCAGCTGTTGCAAGTTTGTGCATCTGTGTAGTTTAATGGAATGTCACCTTCAATGTCCTCACTTGATGTCCAGATGACCAGCTTGCAGCTCTGTAGGCCCAGTCATCATGGAAGAAACATTTTTCTATTCACTTGAATACTGAAACAATTTCAGAGTAACTTGCTAACAACGTGTAGCATGTGCATACTGAAACCTCTTAAAGCCCACCAGGTCGCCTGCTTACCCACCAAGAGCTAGTTCTAAGCTGCTTAGATTGCACATAGAAATATAACTTCTGCCAGTGTTGGGCAAATTACTCTGAAATTGTAAAAACTTAGTAGTTACTTACTACTCCTTTAAAAAAGTAATAATATTCTTTACCTGTTACTAGGTGATAAAAGTAACTAGTTCCGGTAATCATTACGTTACTATATTACTAAACATATAATATTTCTTAACGCCACCCACTTAAAAAAAAAAAATTCTATTCAATTCAATTAAATTTTATTTATATAGCGCCAAATCACAACAACAGTTATCTCAGCGCTTTTCATCAAAGAGCAGGTCTAGACCGTACTCTGTGATGTTATTTACAGAAGCCCAACAATTCCCTGTACACACAGAGGTACAGACAGTAAAGGTGATGTTGCTATAGACTAAATGAAAAATGGTACAGATATTTATAGTAGTGTTAATGATAACAATCGTAATGTTAATGATTATACTAACAATAATAACAATAGGACTAGTAACAATAGTTGTTGTAGCAGAGGGTGTCGAGCAGGAACACGGGGGCAGCAGGTGACCCGCAACCACAGATCCAGACTCCACAGCTCCAGAGACAGAAACACCTGCAGGAAGTGATAGGAGGAGAGAGGAGAGGGACGAGAAAGCACAAGACTACCGGAAAGGGGAGAAGTCGAGTTAGTAACATGCAATAATGGGATGAGGTTGCATACAGAGGGAGAGGAAGTAGAGGAGAGAGGAGCTCAGTGCATCATAGGAAATCCCCCGGCAGTCTAGGCCTATAGCAGCATAACTAAGGGATGGTTCAGGACTCACCTGAGCTACTATGAGCTCTTTAAGATAAGATGGCTCTTTAAGATAAGATGGTGCCTGACCATTAAGAGCTTTGTAGGTAAGAAGAATGATTTTAAATTCTATTCTGGATTTTACAGGAAGCCAATGCAGAGAAGCTAAGACAGGAGAAATATGATCTCTTTTCCTGGTTCCTGTCAGAACACGTGCTGCAGCAATCTGGATCATTTGAAGAGTCTTAATGGACTTTTTCGAGCAGCCTGATAATAAGGAATTGCAGTAATCCAGCCTAGAAGTAACAAATGCATGGACTAGTTTTTCTGCATCATTTTTAGACAGGATGTTCCTGATTTTCGCAATATTACGCAGGAGAAAAAAGGCGGTCCTTGAAATTTGCTTAATTTGAGACTTAAACGACATGTCCTGAAGATAACTCAGTGGTGCTGGAGGCCAGGGCGATGCCATCAAGGGAAACTATATCTTTAGATAATGCGTCACGGAGGTGCTTAGGCCCCAGAACAATAACGTCAGTTTTATCTGAGTTTAACATTAGAAAATTACAGGTCATCCAGGTTTTAACATCCTGAAGGCACATTTGAAGTTTAGCTAACTGATGAGTTTCATCTGGCTTGATCGATAGATATAAGTGAGTATCATCTGCATAACAATGAAAGCTTATGGAGTGTTTCCTGATAATAGTGCCTAAAGGAAGCATAAATATGAACAGGATTGGTCCGAGGACAGATCCTTGAGGAACTCCATGATTAACTTTGGCATGCATGGAGGACTCATCATTAACATGTACAAACTGAAATCGATCTGATAAATAGGACTTAAACCAGCTTAGATTGGTTCCTTTAATGCCAATGAAATGTTCCAGTCTCTGCAATAGGATCTGATTGTCAGTGGTATCAAATGCAGCACTAAGATCTAATAAAACCAGTACAGAGACAAGTCCTTTGTCTGATGCAATAAGGAGGTCGTTAGTAATTTTCACCAGTGCTGTCTCTGTGCTATGATGAGCTCTAAATCCTGACTGAAAATCCTCAAATAAACTATTGCTCTGTAGAAAGTCAAACAGCTGTTTAGCAACTGCTTTCTCCAGAACCTTAGAGAGAAATGGAAGGTTAGATATAGGTCTATAGTTGGCTAAAACATCTGGATCAAGTTTGGGCTTTTTCAGAAGAGGTTTAATTATAGCTACTTTAAAGTACTGTGATCATATCTAGTCGGGATGGGGTTTAAGAGGCAGGTTGATGGTTTAGATGAAGAAATTATTGAAGTTAGTTGGTAAAGATTGAGGGAAGCAAAACAGTCTAAACATATATCTGGTTTTACAGCTGTTTCTAAGGTTCCTGAGTTTAGAGATTGTGTTGGTGCCAGTTGAGGGCATGTCTTGGTGAATTTTGTTTCTAATAGTTATAATTTTATCATTAAAGAAGCTCATGAAGTCGTAACTACTGAGAGCTATGGGAATACTTGGCTCAATAGAGCTGTGACTCTCTGTCAGCCTGGCTACAGTGCTGAAAAGAAACCTGGGGTTGTTCCTATTTTCCTCTATTAATGACGAGTAGTACGCTGCTCTGGCATTACGGAGGGCCTTCCTATAAGTTTTAAGACTATCTTGCCAAATTAAACGAGAATTTTCCACTTTGGTGGAACGCCAGTTCCTCTCAAGTTTCCGCGATATTTGCTTTAATTTGCGAGTTTCAGTATTATACCATGGAGCTAACCGTCTTTGTTTTAGTATTTTCTTTTTTAGAGGGGCTACAGAGTCGAGTGTCATTCGCAGCGAGCCTGCAGCACTATCAACAAGATGATCGATTTGGGAGGGACTGAAATTAGCATAGGAGTCCTCCGTTACTTTGTGACTAGATAATGAATTTAGAGCTGATGGAATCGCATCCTTAAATTTAGCTACAGCAGTAGATCAGCAATACAAACTCAAAAGTTATCAAACAGTGGTCGGACAAAGAGGGATTCTGTGGGAACACTATTAAATGTTCAATTTCAATACCATACACCAAAACAGTAACTAGTACTTTTACAAAATGTAAAACGTTGCTTAACGGCGCTCTCTCCCGAAGCATCAGCGGCACTAGCTGAGTTACGTGTTACTGCCCAACGCTGGTGGTTAGATCGGTTAGATTCTCCACAATTCAATCACAATTCAGTTCATTTCATGGAAACTATTTACAGATTTACCGGTATGGTAAACAAGAGGAGGAAAAAACACAGCATTATTTATACTTGTTGAAATAAACAATTTGATAGTTGCCGGTTTCCCACCTTTGCTGAGCGAGTTTAG